GAGGGCTCCCGCTTGAGACTTCCTCGCAATCACTCACAGACGAGGCTCCCGCCGTATACTTTCTCCACAATCAGGCCTCAGGGGTCCAAGCACGACAACAACTACAAAATTCCGATGATCCGCTCAACCTCAAAAACCATGAGCGGCTGGCCCCATAGGGAGGGGGCTCCCGCCTGAGACGGCCTGGCAATTCACTCACAGACGAGGCTCCCGCCTGATAATTCCTCCATACCCAAGCCTCAGGAGCTCAAACGTGGCGACGGTTACAGGATCTTGATGCCCTGCTCGGGTTGAACAACATGAGCGGCGGGCCCCATAGGGTGAGGGCTCCCGCCGCTCATAGTAAATCATGGGCGGTGTGCCCCATAGAGAGGGTGCTCCCGCCTGGGACTTCCTCGCAATCCACTCACAGACGAGGCTATGTTGACGATGGTGGTCGGATAATGGTGATGATGATGCTCTTGATGATAATGGTGGTAATGATGATTATGCTGCTGCTGATGATATGATGATCAAATGCTCCACTGCACGAGGTCTCCTCCACACGCCGCGACTGGAAAATCCGCCGGCCCCCTTGTGGGGCCACCAGGCTGTAGGCGCGGGTTCGCAGTTTCCAGTACCAGTTGTAGCTTGTAGTTTCCAGTGTTACAGTTCTGCTTCTTGCTGGTTACTGTAACTAATTGACTGACCGCGCGAGGGGGGGGGAGGCCCAAACGGGACTTTTAGCACCCCCTGGGCGCGTTGTCTGAATTGCTGGGGGGGCTCGAAATCGACACCCCTCACGCAGATCCGCGGGGTCAGGGTCCAAAAACACAGGGGATTTGCCACATTTCTGAAATTCGGTGCCACCCCTCACGCAGATCCGCGGGGTCAGGGTCCAAAAACACAGGGGATTTGCCACATTTCTGAAATTCGGTGCCACCCCTCACGCAGATCCGCGGGGTCAGGGTCCAAAAACACATGGGATTTGCCACATTTCTGAAATTCGGTGCCACCCCTCACGCAGATCCGCGGGGTCAGGGTCCAAAAACACAGGGGATTTGCCACATTTCTGAAATTCGGTGCCACCCCTCACGCAGATCCGCGGGATCCGCGGGGTCAGGGTCCAAAAACACAGGGGATTTGCCACATTTCTGAAATTCGGTGCCACCCCTCACGCAGATCCGCGGGGTCAGGGTCCAAAAACACATGGGATTTGCCACATTTCTGAAATTCGGTGCCACCCCTCACGCAGATCCGCGGGGTCAGGGTCCAAAAACACATGGGATTTGCCACATTTCTGAAATTCGGTGCCACCCCTCACGCAGATCCGCGGGGTCAGGGTCCAAAAACACAGGGGATTTGCCACATTTCTGAAATTCGGTGCCACCCCTCACGCAGATCCGCGGGGTCAGGGTCCAAAAACACAGGGGATTTGCCACATTTCTGAAATTCGGTGCCACCCCTCACGCAGATCCGCGGGGTCAGGGTCCAAAAACACAGGGGATTTGCCACATTTCTGAAATTCGGTGCCACCCCTCACGCACATCCATCGCAAGGCGTGGTAACCCAAACTGCGAGTACTCCCTCGGCCCTTTAATCCCAAGGTGTGGTAACCAAGCTCGTAAACCATACACGTCTTACCAATCGCCCTGTGTGGTAACCCCTCTTGTGATCAGTTGGTTTTGCCGATTGCGAATCGGCCTCGCATGAAGTTCCGATACTGCTGCACGACAGCGCCAAAGCCTCATGACTTAGCTCTTCCATGGCCCATTCTCCGAGAGAGGGGGCCGGCGGCAGGGGGCGAAGCCCTTACGGATAACCGACACTAGCAAAAATTAAGGACAGGCGACGCACTAAGTAAAGTGGCAGCCGAAGCGCGAGGCAAGCAGCGAAGGCGAGAGAGAGAGAGAGGGAGAGAGGAAGGGCAAGAGACGGAAGACAACAGAGAAGCGAAACATGTAGCGCATCACAACTGTGACGCAAAGTAGCGCATCACGACTGTGGCTCAAGGGCTCAAGGGCTCAAGGGCTCAAGCGCCGGGAATCCCAGGGGATCCTCCACGCCGGGGGTCCTCTGCATCAAGACTGAGACGCACACTGCACCTTCCTGAGCATTTCGTGTATGAAGTGCCGAACCCGAGAATCCAAGCGAGCGATCGCGCGAAGTCTCGAGCGGAAGTGAGAAATCCACTGGGCGGTAGGGTACACCACCTGGGACGTTCTAGCATGCTGAAACACCCCCCAAACCGCCTCATTGACCAAGGCAGCTTGAATCAAACTATTTAAAGTGTGATTGGGGTGCACAGCAAGCCACCACTTCTTGACGAACATGGGCGAGCCGTCAGGCGCCCATGGGAAGAGCGTTAATTCGTTGATGATGATGATGATGATGATGATGAAGATGATGATGATGATGATGATTATGATGATGATAATGCTGCTGCTGATGATGATCATGGTGATGAGTGGTGAGTGATGAGCAGTAGTTGTGCGTGCGTGAATGAGTTGGGAATGCGAATGTGTGCGAGTGTGTAAGTGATGCTGTGATGGCGGTGATGATGTGAGTGTGTGTGTGTGGGGGGGGGGAAGGGGGGGTGTTCCTGTTCCTGCGCGGAGTGCCCAGAAAAATTAGCCTGGCGAAGGACCCAACCATATGCAGTTGAGAGTACCGCAATTGTGAATATCTTCTTCGGTGGCGCTCCCTATGGGGCCACGAGCCGTATGAGGGGTGTGCCGAAATGCGTGGCAGTGTACACAACACGAACGAAGACGATAGGTCCGAATATGAAAGCTTGAGCGCGTGCGAGTCGGATCGCGAGCGAGTCTGATTATGAATGAATCTGCGCGCGATTGATTCTATTCGCATGAATGCGTGCATGGATACGCCCAGTGTAAATGTATGTATACGACTGTGAACAGTTTGGGTCTGCGTGACTCTCGGTACTCGTGACTCTGAGCGTCGCCTCTGCAGGGGGCTTCCCTGGGAACCCCGACGGCAGCGCCCGCGCGCCGCGACGCCCATGTCGGCACGCCACACACCTGGTGTGCGGGACGCATGCGGACGGCAGCACTGGGGCCTTCGGTGGAGCTCCCTGTGGGGCCACGAAACGTGTGAGGGGTGTGCCGAAATGGGTGTGCGGGACGCATGCGGACGGCAGCCATGGGGCCTTCGGTGGAGCTCCCTGTGGGGCCACGAAACGTGTGAGGGGTGTGCCGAAATGGGTGTGCGGGACGCATGCGGACGGCAGCACTGGGGCCTTCGGTGGAGCTCCCTGTGGGGCCACGAAACGTGTGAGGGGTGTGCCGAAATGTGTGTGCGGGACGCATGCGGACGGCAGCACTGGGGCCTTCGGTGGAGCTCCCTATGGGGCCACGAAACGTGTGAGGGGTGTGCCGAAATGGGTGTGCGGGACGCATGCGGACGGCAGCACTGGGGCCTTCGGTGGAGCTCCCTGTGGGGCCACGAAACGTGTGAGGGGTGTGCCGAAATGGGTGTGCGGGACGCATGCGGACGGCAGCCATGGGGCCTTCGGTGGAGCTCCCTATGGGGCCACGAAACGTGTGAGGGGTGTGCCGAAATGGGTGTGCGGGACGCATGCGGACGGCAGCACTGGGGCCTTCGGTGGAGCTCCCTGTGGGGCCACGAAACGTGTGAGGGGTGTGCCGAAATGGGTGTGCGGGACGCATGCGGACGGCAGCCATGGGGCCTTCGGTGGAGCTCCCTATGGGGCCACGAAACGTGTGAGGGGTGTGCCGAAATGGGTGTGCGGGGCGCATGCGGACGGCAGCACTGGGGCCTTCGGTGGAGCTCCCTGTGGGGCCACGAAACGTGTGAGGGGTGTGCCGAAATGGGTGTGCGGGACGCATGCGGACGGCAGCCATGGGGCCTTCGGTGGAGCTCCCTGTGGGGCCACGAAACGTGTGAGGGGTGTGCCGAAATGGGTGTGCGGGACGCATGCGGACGGCAGCACTGGGGCCTTCGGTGGAGCTCCCTGTGGGGCCACGAAACGTGTGAGGGGTGTGCCGAAATGGGTGTGCGGGACGCATGCGGACGGCAGCACTGGGGCCTTCGGTGGAGCTCCCTATGGGGCCACGAAACGTGTGAGGGGTGTGCCGAAATGGGTGTGCGGGACGCACGCGGACGGCAGCACTGGGGCCTTCGGTGGAGCTCCCTGTGGGGCCACGAAACGTGTGAGGGGTGTGCCGAAATGGGTGTGCGGGACGCATGCGGACGGCAGCACTGGGGCCTTCGGTGGAGCTCCCTGTGGGGCCACGAAACGTGTGAGGGGTGTGCCGAAATGGGTGTGCGGGACGCATGCGGACGGCAGCGAGGAGGAGAGAGGAGGAGAAGGAGGTGGGACGCGGGGCGCTGTCTCTTCAAAACGAGGACCCAACACCACAGGATGGTTGGGAAAAAGAACCCAACTTTGGATGTGGGGAACAATGGTGCATGGCGGAGGACCCAACCATATGCAAATGTTCGCACCGTAGTTGTGAATATCTTCTTAGGTGGCGCTCCCTATGGGGCCACGAAACGTCTGAGGGTGTGCCGAAATTGGTACGGCGAACGCATGTGGACGGTGGCACTGCGGCCTTCGGTGGAGCTCAATGTTGGGCCACGACCCGTGTGAGGGGAGTGCCGAAATGCGTGTGGGGGACGCATGTGGAGGGTGGAGCTGCGGCCTTCCGTGGAGCTCCCTATGGGGCCACGAAACGTGTGAGGGGTGTGCCGAGATGAGTGTGAGAGGCGCATGTGGACGGTGGAGCTGCGGCCTTCGGTCGAGCTCCCTATGGGGCCACGCAACGTGTGAGCAATTTACAGAAATGGGTGCGGGGGAAGCATGTGGACGGTTGAGCTGCGGCCTCCGGTGGAGCCACCTATGGGGCCACGACACGTGTGAGGGGTGTGCCGAAATGGATGAGGGGGACGCATGTGGACGGTGGCACTGGGGCCTTCGGTTGAGCTCCCTATGGGGCCACGAAATGTCCGATGTGTGTGCCGAAATGGGTGGGACGCATGTGGACGGTGGCACTGAGGGATTGAGTGGAGCTCCTTATGGGGCAACGACGCGTGTGAGGGGAGTGCCGAATTGGGTGTAAGGGACGCATGTGGACGGTGGAGCTGCGTCCTTCGGTGGAGCTCCCTATGGGGCCACGAAACGTGTGAGTGGTGTGCCGAAATGAGTGCGGCGGACGCATGTGGACGGTGGACCTGCGCCCTTCGGTGGAGCTCCCTATGGGGCCACGACACGTGTGAGGGGAATGCCGAAATGGGTGTAGGGGACGCATGTGGAGGGTGGAGCTGCGGCCTTCGGTGGAGCTCAATATGGAGCCACGAAGACGTGTGAGGGGTGTGCCGAAATGAATGTGGGGGACGCATGTGGACGGTTGAGCTGCGGCCTTCGGTGGAGCTCCCTATTGGGACCACGAAACGTGTGAGTTGTGTGCAGAAATGGGTGCGGGGGAAGCATGTGGACGGTGGCACTGCGGCCTTCGGTGGAGCCACCTATGGGGCCACGAAACATGTGAGGGGTGTGCCAAAGTGAGGGGGCGTGACGGGAGGAGGGAGGAGGAGGAGGAGGAGGAGGAAAGGAGAGGAGAGGAGAGGAGAGGAGAGGAGAGGAGAGGAGAGGAGAGGAGAGGAGAGGAGAGGAGAGGAGAGGAGAGAAGAGGAACGCGGGGACCGTCTCTTCAAAACGAGGACCAAACACCACAGGATGGTTGGGACATAAAATGCATCGAATCTCTGGGTGTTTAAAAAGCCTCCCGGAAGGGGTGAGGACCGCGCCGCATCGCCGATGCATCCGTGATGCATCGGCGACGTCGGTGATGCATCGGCGATGTCGGGGTGGAGACAATTGGGCTCCACTTCGACTGCATCGCCGAAGCATCGGCGATGCGGCACGACCCTCCGGCCCAATCTACTCCGACCCCATCTGGAAGGCCTAGAGGATTGGCCCTCTGATTGCCTCAGCCGACCAGACGGTAAACACTGACAATAAAGACGCGCGGAAAATGTGCAAGGGCCCTGGAAAGCCGTGTTGACACTCTTTGAGCGGGGCGAGGCCAGCTACAGTGGCCAAGGGTGGGCCGAAGGGAAAGGATGCAAAGACGAGCTTGGAAAATTGCTCATCCTTCCTATCAACGTTGACTGCAGAGCCCTGGGGCCCAGGAGCGACACGACACGGCGGCGAGGGCCGTCGGCGGACGCCTCGCGCACGCCTGGCGCTCGGCGAGGAGGCCGCGGCCAGCAGGGGCTGCGCCGCGCCCGCGGGCATCGCGCGGCCATCCTCCATGCTGGCGCCCCGGTGGTCGCCTGGACCACCCTGGGGGCCCACGAGGCCCAAAGGACCAGCCAAACCATGGCTTCGCCGCGTCGCCAAACAGCACGACGGCAGGTTGTGTCAGATTTCGGCCTCGCGGGGCCCTGACCAGGCCCTGAGGCGGGCAAACTCGGCGGCGAACCTGGGGGCGAATGCGAGAAGGAGCAGACCTTCTCAGAAGGCGGCGGGACTTCTCAGAAGCCCTCGCGCCTTCTGAGAAGGTGCCTGTGTCTTCGGGGACGGCTTCGAAAATTTCTCAGAAGGCCCACAAGCCGTCCGAGCCTTCTGAGAAGACCCGCCCCCTGTCACTTCCCCCCCGGGCTTGCCGCCGACAAGCAACGTCTCGGGACAAGAAGTCGGACCTGGAGGACCAGACCTGTGGGGAGCCAAGACGTCGGACGTCCGCCCTGAAAACGTCCAGGTGGCAATCTTTCTCGGTGCTGCCCTGCATGGGCCCTCGCTGGGCCCCGGGGCCGTCAAGAAACAGTTCAGGTGGAAAGTCGGGCCTGGGGAAAGGGTATGGACTTCGAGGTACCCCGTAGAGGAGAAAGTCAAGAGCGGCGGAAAAGGAGGAGAAGGAAGGAGGAGGAGGAGGAGGAGGGCAGGAGGAGGAGGAACAAAGGAAAGCCGCGCGAGAGGGGGAGGGCGTGGAAGGTGATGGGGCAGGCGGGTGGAGGAGGGGGAGGGGGAGGGGGCTATCAGTTGGACTATCAATGCGCTGGGAATGCCCCTCGGGGGGGAGCAGTGATCGAGCAAGGGAGGGGGAGGATGGGGAACTGGCTCCTTGGCCCTTCAGAGGCGGCCCACTGCGGCCACAGGCCTGTAAGCACTCCCCCCCTGCTCGCGGGGTGGGCCAGCCAGCCGCTTGAGCCGCGACGGCTCCCTCGATCCTCCGCGCTCCTCATCGAGCCGCGAAAGCTCCCTCGATCCTCCGGGCTCCTCATCGCTCCCCTCTCCTCGCTCCTCGCTCCTCCTCCTCGATGCTCGCTCCTCGCTCTCCCTCCTCCTCCTACTCCTACTCCTCCTCCTCCTCCTTCTCCTCCCCCTCGCTCATTGCTCCTCGCTCCTCTTCCTCCTCCTCCTCCTCCTCGCTCTTCGCTCCTCGGTCCTCGCTCCTCGCTATTCGCTCCTCCTCCTCCTCCTCCTCCTCATCCTCCTCCTTCCCCTCGTTATCCCCCTCCTCCAGCTCTTCCTGC